GAGTTGGAGTCGTCCTCGCGCCGCTGGGGCGCCGGCGGGTTGTACCACTCCGCGGGAAATGGGGGGGCGCCGCCTCACGCCACCTCAATTCACCTCACACCTCCCCCCCACACACACACACACATACGGCTTCCCTGCTTCTCCCGGGATGTTCCTCGTGTTTTGGAAGGGAACGGGAAAAGGGGGAGGCCCCGCGCTACCTCCCCCCGCTCGGTGGAACAGCCCGTGAGGGAAGGCAAGCGGCGGGGGGGGGGGAAGAGATGCGTTTCGCTCCCCCTTTTTGCAGAGTGGTACAACCCGCGGGCGCTGGCGGGGCTACGAGGACGAAACCAACTCGGCGAAGAAATAGGGGGGGGGCGAGCGGCGCTCCTCGGTGTGTATGGAGGCGGGGGGAGCCAGCGCATGCGGGGGAGCGGAGCGGGGACAAAGGCGCCCCATCCCCGCGTCCCTCCCCGGTTATAACGCGCCCCCCATTCCCATGGACGCGGCGGCCGCTCCATGCCCGGGGGGGAGCCGGAGGAGGGCGGGGGAATGGCGGGAGGGCGGCGGGGAGGAGGAGGAGGAGGAGGAGGAGGAGGAGGAGGAGGCAGCAGCGCATCCCCCGGGGGGGCGTCGGCGAAGATGTCGCTTCGCCGCGCCTACTCCATCAAGGACAAGCTCCAGGCCATCGAGCGGGTGAAGAAGGGCGAGCGCCAGGCGTCGGTGTGCCGGGCCTTCGGGGTGCCGGGGGGCACCCTCCGGGGCTGGCTGAAGGACGAGGCGAAGCTGCGCTGGTTCCTGGAGCAGCTCGGGGGCGAGGTGGGCACCCAGCGCAAGAAGATGCGCTTGGCCAACGAGGAGGAGATCGACCGCGCCGTCTACGCCTGGTTCCTCGCGCTGCGCCAGCACGGCATCCCGCTCTCCGGGCCCCTCATCCAGGCGCAGGCGGAAGCCTTCGCCCGCCAGATCTACGGGCCGGAATGTACCTTCAAGGCGAGCCACGGCTGGTTCTGGCGCTGGCAGAAGCGCCACGGCATCTCCAGCCAGCGCATCTACGGCGAGGGCGGCGCGGCCGCCGAGCCCGAGCGCGCCCCGGCCGCCCGCGCCGAGGCGATGCCCGACGCCGGCGGCTACGGCGACGAGCAGATCTACAACGCCAACGTCACCCGGCTCTTCTGGAAGCTTCTCCCCGGCGGCGTCCCGGCGGGATCGGCGCGGCGGCGCGGCGAGCGCGTCACGGTGCTGCTGGCCGCCAACTTGACCGGCGCCCACAAGCTCAAGCCGTTGGTGGTCGGGGGGCTCCGGGATCCCGCCAGCCTCCGGCATCACAACCAGGAGAAGTTCCCGGCGTGTTACCGCTACAGCCGCGAGGCCGCGCTGGCGCCGGCGCTGCTCCGGGCGTGGTTCTTCGAGGACTTCGTGCCGGGGGTCAAGCGGTACCTGCGGCGGAGCTGCCTCCAGCAGAAGGCCGTGCTGCTGCTCAGCTCGGCGCCGGCCCGCTGCGGCTCGGGCCGGGAGGATTCTCCGCCTCTGCAGACGCCCGACGGGTCCATCCGCGCGCTCTTCCTCTCCAAGGCTCCCGCCGGGAGCGGCTCTGCCGGAGCGGGAGGCCGGATCCCGGCGCCGCTGGAGCAGGGCGTGGTGTCGGCCTTCAAGCAGCTCTACAAGCGGGAGTTGCTGCGCTTGGCCGTGTCCTGCGGCGGCCCCGGCGGCCCCGCCGACTTCGTGAGGTCCTTCCTCCTCAAGGACATGCTGTACCTCGCCGGGCTCTCCTGGGATCTCATCCCGCCGGGATCCATCGAGAAGTGCTGGCTCCTGGGGCTGCGCGCGGCCTTCGAGCCGCATCCCGGCGAGGAGGAGCGCGGAGAACCCCCGGGAGCGGGGCAGGAAGGAGGAGGAGGAGGAGGAGGAGGAGGGGACAGCAAAGTCTTCAGCGACCTGACCCACCTGGCAGCGCTGGCCTTCAAGCGCTTGGCTCCCGAGGAAGTGTCCGACTGGCTGCACTTGGATGATGCCGCTCCGGGCACGGAGGAGGAGGACGGAGAAGAGGACGCGGACGAGGAAGGCGCCGAGGGCTGCGGGGTGGAGGAAGACGAGGAGGAGGAGGAGGAAGCAGCCGGTGGCAGAGGCAGCGGGGAAGGAGGAGACTCGTTGCTTCCCACGGCTCGGGAAGCCATCCAGGGCCTGGAGACGGCGCTGCGGTGGCTGGAGGGGCAGGACCCCCGGGAAGTGGGGCCGCTGAAGCTGGTGCAGCTCCGCTCCCTCATCTCCACGGCCCAGCGGCTGCGCCGCGGCCGCAGCCCCCCCGCCTAGGCCGGGGGCTACCGCTGCCCACATCTGGGCTACCAGCCGCCCCCACTTGGCCACGGGGCCGGGGACGCCCCGTTATCCGGAGGTGCCGCCCGTCCCCGCCAGGATTCCTCCTGGGGATCAGGAGGCTGTGGGTCGCAGTTTCGGGGATTGTCGGGCGCCGGCTCCCGTTCCAGGGTTGTCCCTCACCTAAACGTGGTGAGGAGGTGCTATTTTTTACATCCCTGGGTGCTGGCACTGCCAGAAGGGAGGGTGGGTGCCCCCCCAAAATTCCCCGGTCGCCCCGATCCCGTGGGGAGAAGGGGTTAGGGAGGGACCCGCTCGGTGTCACCGGGATTATTGGGGATAATATCTCGGAGCAGGGCCCAGCCAGCTGGACAGGGACCACTCCCAAGGTGCTGTAGGGCAAATATTCCACCCTGGAAGAGGTTGGTGACGCCCTTCCCGCTGTCGAAACAAAATCCCCGTTAAGCCAGGATGGTTTGGGGCCGGTCGAAGGCAACGCCGTGCACTGGATTGGGAAAGCGACGCTTGGGTGGCATCCCAGAAGCTGCAGCTCCCTGGAAAAGGTCACCACCACCATTCCCACCACAGCTGGCAACACCTGGACCACGGAGAGCTGCCGGACCAGGTACCTCATCCCGGCATCCCCGCGGAGCCGAAGGCTCCGGGAACGGGGTGTTCCTTCCCGTGAGGTTTTGTGGGGTGGTTGGGGCTGGACGACACGTCTGGGTGAGTTTGAGGTCGGAGCAGGGAGAGCCACCTTGGAATTCTGGAAGACCTCAAGAGAGGAATTCGGCAGCTCTTGGCCCGACCTGGATGAAATTTGAGCCGGTTGAAGCCAACGACTGAAGGGCGGGGGGGAAATGAGGTGAATTCCTCGGAGCTGCCCCGTGCCAGCCGGAGGGGTGGAGGTTTCTCCGTGTCTTGGTCTCCTCACTGCAGAGTTTATGGAAAATAAATGGATTTTTATTCCCACACGGAGCCTGTTGTTTGTGAACAGCCACGCGGAGCCATCCCAGGGAGGTTTGGGGTGGCACGAGGGGGCCCTCGGGGTGGGTGTGTCCCCCGGGTTCGGTTTTCTCCAACAAAAAAAGACCCCACAAAAATGTTTGGGGAGCTTGGGATGTGGCTGGTTTCGAGCAGGAGTTTGGGAATTCGAGGAATCCTCGGTTGTGTGACAGGAACGTCGCCGAGCTCGGCAGAAGGTGCTTGGCCTGATCCGGGGGGGGTGAGACCTTCAAAGCATGGAATGGGTTTGGTTGGAAGAGACTGTGGAATTCCAACCCCCTGCCATGGGCAGGGACACCTCCCGCTATCCCAGCTTGCTCCAACCCGGCCTTGGGCACTTCCACAGCTTCTCTGGGAATTCCATCCCAGCCCCTCCCCACCCTCCCAGCCAAGAATTCCTTCCCGATATCCCGTCTAACCCTCTGGCAGTGGGAAGCCATTCCCTGTGTCCTGTCCCTCCGTCCCTCATCCCAAGTCTCTCTCCAGCTCTCCTGGAGTCTCTTTAGGCCCTGGAAGGGGCTCCAAGGTCTCCCTGGAGCCTTCCCTTCTCCGGGCCGGCTCCAGCTCCGTTTCTGGCTTCTGTGGAGCTTTGCTAATTAATTAATTGGGTGCCTGGAGAAGGTTCCCACTCAGGTCGTGCCTTGGCAGCACCATAACTTGGGAATCTGTGGAATCTCTCTTGGCTCGGTGCCACTGGCCTCTGGGGCAACCAAATCCCGGGGAACGGGGTCAAAGCCACAGGATCCAGAGGCTCAGCATCCAGATGTTTTCCCCAAAACCCACGTTTTGCCCAGAAAAGGCCTTTTCATCCTCAAAGCAGTTCCCAAATCAGCTGGAATGTTCATTGTATCCGTGCAGGTGCCGGCAGGCAAAGGGAGCTGAATTAGGGCACGGAAAAGGTTTGGATCCTCGCTGGATAGTTTGAGTTTCCACTCCCTGGAGCTGGGAATGGGTCTAGGCTTCCACCCCATTCCCGTGGAGCCGGAGAGGGACCCGGATGCGGGATCACGGTGGAGGTTTTTAGGTTGGTCGACTTCCTCCCTGTATTTTTGGGAATAAAACTCTCGCGGCGCCCGGGACGGTCCCTCGTGTCCCACCGCAGGGATGTGGCCGCTCTCCCAGCTCCGGGAGGCTTCAGTTGGGATCAGCCCATCCCCAAAACCCCGGCCCTGGTGCCACACAGAGGGCACAGCGCCCGTGAGGGCGGGTGGCACCTCCATCCTCGGCGATGGCAGCGCCAACTCCATCCCCAGGGATCCCAGGGGGAGTGGAGCCGGCGTGGCACCGGCACCATCCCAGGCACCCACAGCTGGGTGGTGACCCCGTGGCGGCTCCCACACCCTCCAGGGACCAAAGGCACCCCGAGGAGCCACCCATGGCTGGGTGGTGACCCCGTGGCAGCTCCCACACCCCCCAGGGACCGAAGGCACCCGGAGGAGCCACCCATGGCTGGGTGGTGACCCCGTGGCGGCTCCCACACCCCCCAGGGACCAAAGGCAACACGAGGAGCCACCCATGGCTGGGTGGTGACCCCGTGGCAGCTCCCACACCCCCCAGGGACCGAAGGCACCCGGAGGAGCCACCCATGGCTGGGTGGTGACCCTGTGGCGGCTCCCACACCCCCCGGGGACCGAAGGCAACACGAGGAGCCACCCATGGCTGGGTGGTGACCCCGTGGTGGCTCCCACACCCCCCAGGGACCGAAGGCACCCGGAGGAGCCATGTGTGCCCACGTTTATTTGCTCGCGGCCCCGCTGAGGCAACACGTGCCCGACGCCACCTTCCCACCCCCCCTTCCAGCTTCTCCCGAGGGCATCGGGATCTCCTGGAAGAGGCCGGTTTTGGTCCCCATCACCCTTTCCTGGGACAAGAGCCGGGCCAACTAGTCCTTGGCCATGTCCCAGGCGCGGTTGGTGGCCGCCTCCACGGCGCTCATGACGGTGGCCCGGAGCGCTCCCTTCTCCAGCTGGTGCAGGGCGTGGATGGTGGTGCCCCCGGGGGTGCAGACGTCCGCCCGCAGCTTTGCCGGGTGTTCCCCGGTCTCCAGCAGCATCTTGGCAGCGCCCTACGGAAAAAAGGGCACCTCCCAAATCATCCGACCCCTCCGGGAAGCGCCGTCCCGGCGAGGGATCGGCCCGCGGCCCTTCGCCGCCGCCGCCTTCTGAAGGTGGCCTCGTTTTTTGGGGGGCCAAGAAGGGGAAGGGAGGCAGGAGGGGAGTCAGAACCTCCTCTCTCACACTCATGGGGGTCCCAAAACCAGCAGCCCTAAAATCAGCATCCTCAAAACCAGCAATTCCAAAATCAGCAGCCCTAAAATCAGCAACCCCGAAACCAGCAATCCCCAAAACCCAACACCCCCAAAACCAGCAGCCCTAAAATCAGCATCCCCAAAACCCAACACCCCCAAAACCAGCAGCCCTAAAATCAGCATCCTCAAAACCCAACACCCCAAAACCAGCAGCCCTAAAATCACCATCCTCAAAACCAGCATCACTAAAATCAGCATCCCCAAAACCCAGGAACCCCAAAACCAGCATCCCCCAAAACAGCACCCTCCAAAACCAGCACCCCCAAAAACAGCACCCCCCAAAAACAGCACCCCCCAAAATTGCAACCCCAAAACCAGCATCCCAAAACCAGCAGCCCTAAAACCCAGCAACCCCAAAACCAGCATCCCTAAAATCAGCAACCCCAAAACCAGAATCCCAAAACCATCATCCCTAAAATCAGCATCCTCAAAATCAGCACCCCAAAACCATCATCCCTAAAATCAGCATCCCCCAAACCAGCATCCCTAAAACCAGCACCCTAAAAAAGAAAAAACAGCACCTCCAAAACCAACACCCTCAAACCCCAGCAACCCTAAACCCAGTGACCCCAAAACCAGGACCCCAAAACCAGGACCCCGAACCCAGCACCCTAAAAAACAGCAACTCCCAAACCAGCAACCGCTAAAAGCAGCAGCCCCAAAAACAACAACCCCAAAATCAGCAACCCCCAAAACAGCACCCCAAAACCAAGAGCCCCAAGACCAGCAACCCCAAAATCAGCACCCCCGAAAGCAGCACCCCAAACCCAGCACCCCAAAACCAGCACCCCCAAAACCAGTACCCCAAAACCAGCAACCCCTAAAACCAGCACCCTCAAAAACAGCAACCCCAAAATCAGCAACTCCAAAACCAGCACCCCAAAACCAACACCCTCAAACCCCAGCATCCCAAACCCAACACCCCCAAACCCAGCAACCCCAAATCCAACACCCTCAAAACCAACACCCTCAAAACCCAGCACCCCAAAACCAGCAATCCCCAAAACCAACACACTCAAACCCAACACCCTCAAAACCCAGCGCCCCAAACCCAGCACCCCCCAAAACCAGCATCCCCAAACCCAACACCCCCAAACCCGGCACCCCAAAACCAGCACCCTCAAACCCCAGCATCTCAAACCCAGCACCCCCAAACCCAACACCCTCAAAACCCAGCACCCCTTAACCAACACCCTCAAAACCCAGCACCCCAAAACTAGCACCCCTAAAACCAGCAACCCCAAAACCAGTTAAAACAAAACCAGCACCCTGAAAAACAGCAACCCCAAAACCAGCACCCCTTAACCAACACCATCAAAACCAGCAACCCCAAAACCAGCACCCTCTAAACCCAGCAACCCCAAAACC